TGTAGAGGTAAGATGTATTGAAAAGGCTCTGGAGGATATTACAGTTTGGGAATGTGAGGCCATCTGTGAAATAATTGGTATTGTTTAACTGAAGCTGTGGCCAAAAAATGGCAATTTAAACTAGGAAGGAGAATTGTCAGTTTCAGAAAGAGGATAACACTATCAAATAACCTAATTTTACCGGAGAGCAAACGTCTCTGGAATTACATTGTTAGTGAGCACAGTTACTATTGTTGAGGCTCTTAGAATTCTTGGCTTAAGACAAAGGTACTGGTTCCGACGACCCAGGCTATCCTGAAAAAACAATATGCAAGTGAAGTAAAGTAAGTGAAAGCATGTTTTAAAGAATAGAAGCTTCATATTTTTAATTTTTTCTTAAATGGCTTTTGGTAGCTGAGTAATTTGTGTAAGTATATTGTTTTTAATAAATAAGGCGGCTTTTCAGTGATAAACTAGAAGTTCTCAGAGTCCTGTTATCGGACAACTCACCCTGGGGAGAGGAGGGCAGTGCTTCAATTGAACCCGAAAAAGCAGTAGTTTTTAAAGTTCAGAAAGGGGTATGGCATACCTAGGGGTTAACTCACGATGATATCTGATTCGGAGATAAACCTTATTTTGTATTCTGACAGGCCCAAGGGGACACAATCCGAAACAAAGTCTAAAGGGAGAAACTAAGTTGCTCTGAAGACTAACACCCAGTTTTTCCTTTTAGTCCAAACAGATTGGTGTCTGGGAGGCCCTCCTTTTCTGGCCTACCTTCTTCTTCACTTTTCTATCTGTCCATTCTAACACACACACACGCACACACCTTCCACCCCACCCCCAGGCTTAAAGTTGCATCCTGTCTGGGCCCTTCCAGGTCAAAGCCAGTGAGATGGTCCTTCTCAGGAGCCTCGAATGAAAAGTAACTTGTTCCTTGCTCAGTGCTGAGACCCACAAGAATGGATCCACAGTTAGTTGTGCGTTGGGGTTAAGCCTTTCAGATTCTTAGCATCTATACAATAGATGAATCTCATTCCAATGTTGATCATCTCTCACAGCGTAACCTGGAGGTGTTAGTACAGTAAAAGGTCCTCTTTCAACAATGATGACACAAAGCAACAAAAGAGAAGAGGACTGAGAATTCTGTCCTGCCATGAATGTGAAGTTGTAACTCCACTGTTAGAGAAGCAGACTTGCAAATGGACAAGTTAAGAAGATATTCATCTTCTCCTGATGAGTTTAGACTGTATCACCTCTGAGAATGAATATTTGTCCTAGGGATGTTTGTATGGACATCTGATTAAACAGTTACCAGCTAGACACTTGGAAGACTAAAGAGGAAAGTCCGCAAGTCTGCACTGGGGAAAACTTGAATGGGAACAGACTTAAGTATGCCCACCCTGAGCTGCTCTGCAGGACTTGGAGTTCCAAGCTCCCCTCACCACACACCCCTGGTACCTTCTGCAGAATGTGGGTTGCCAAGGCCACCAGGTACTATTCTGTTGAATGTCTGTGAACTTATTCTAAAGTGGATAACTTAGACTTCAGGAAGGCATTGCTGAGAAAGTATTGGACGGACAACTTCTTTTGAGCAAGGTTGCCATTTCCCAAAAAATGAATAAGGAGTCATCCAGTAGAGTGGAAAGGCAGAACAAGATTAGAACTAGTAGCACCCATAGGGGGCCCTCCATGGGTTAACTAGGGGTTAACTTCATAGTGTTATTTCTTGGAGTATAGGAAAAGTCATATTAGCATACAGTTTAAAATTTTTTCTTTCATGATTGAGATTCCCGGTCATTACCCCAACCCTACCATAAAATCTGATAATCCTATACCTCCTTGTGTGATGTTGTGAAGGGTAAAGCAACAGGGTTCTAAAGCATAGCGTTTCTTATCCTATATTTACCCGTTCATGGGAGCTCATAGAGGGCTCAGCATCTATCAAGGAGACCATATCCCAAAGTTCAGAATATGACCATCAACAAAGGGACTGGAAATAGTGAGGAGAAGCACAGAATGCTGGCCAGTAAATGCCAGGTGGTCAGTTCAACCGGGGCCTGATCTAAAGCCTTCTCTTTACGAACCCACACTAGAGGAAGGGAACCCTCAGGCAGAGGCAGGCAGATGATTAGACCATCTACCTCTACTTGAGTCTAATTTGGTAAAGCAGAGTTTCTTAAATCCATCTTATCCAGATTTTCAAAACACTAGCATAGTTACACAAATAACTCTAAATTTACTTTAGTTTCCATTGAATTATGTTTACTTTCCATGTATCGTTAATACATTTTTACAGATGTGCTTTTGCTTTTTTAAATTGATTTGGCTTGCTAGTAGTTTATTTTATTGCTTTTTTCTTTCTATTGGTATTTATACCTCTCTCCACAAACACACACGAGGACCAGTTCCTGAATTTATTTATGAATAAATAAATGAATTCTACTCTAAATTCCAATTTATTCTATTGCTTTCCCCTTTTATCTCCCTTTTATTCTTACCTCCTTTCTTTTTTTAGAAATTTATTTGAAAATAAATAAATGGCTAATTTGTTTTTAATCCCCCTTATCTAAGTAATGAAAATATTTAAGACTACGAATACAAAAATATTTAAGACTATGCCTTGGCCACATCTCATAGATTTTGTTCTTAATATTCTCATTAGCATTGTTTTCAAGTCATTCTTAGTTACAGATTTGGTCTCCTCTAGATTTCAAGAGTAAACCAGGAGGATTCTTTTTCCAAGAGGTTGAAATGTTTATTTCTTCCAACTTTTGCTATTTATTTCTAATTTTACTGTACTATGGTTAGAAAATCCTGCTGTAAGAGATAAACTTGTTTTAACGTTGTCTTTTTTTCTATATTCTTTTGTATGCATGAAATATAATAATTTTTATTGTGGTGAAATATACAACATAAAGTTTAGAATTTTAACCATTTTTAACTGTACAGTTTAGTGGAACTACTTACGTAATTCACATTGTTATGCAACCATCCACCATTATCCATTTCCAGAACTTTTTCATCATCCCAAACTGTGCTTTTGGTGTCCCATTCAAGAAATCATTGCCAAATCCAATGTCCTGAAGATTTTGCCTTAAGTTTTCTTCTAAGAGTTTTATAGTTTTAGCTGTTACAGTTAGGTCTTTGATCCGTTTTGAGTTCATTTTTATTTATGTGATAAGGGTCCAACATCATTCTTTTGAGGGTAACACATTTTTAAACAGAAAGCAAAGAATCAGAAAATATTAGCTCCAGAAGGGGTCCTCCCCATTTATGAATGAAGAAATTGGGATAGAAATAAAATAAGAAGCCAAGCTCACACAACGGACTGACGGCAGCAGCAGACTAAAAGTCAAATCCTGTCTATTTTCAATGCATTACACTAATGTTTGCTTTTTTTAAATGAAGTTTGCTTTATGATCAATACAGTGAGTTTTTTGATGCTTCATGGGCATTTGAAAATAAGGTACATTCTCTGTTTTCAGAGTTCTGTGTGTGTGTGTGTGTGTCTATCTTTCTTTCTGTCCGTATAATTAGATAGGTATGACAACCTTATTAATTGTATTATTCTCAGAACATAGTGTTAAGAGCTCAGGCTCTGATGCCAGGCAAACCTGTGTGACCTTGAACTCACACTTGTAACCTCTCCAAACCCCAGTTAAAGTACAGGTGGTATCCCATTGAATGCATAGCCCTAAAAGGGATTTCAATCTTCATACACATTTCTTTCTGACTTTCAATGGAACCCAAATAGCTGGCCCACAGGAACTCCTATTACCGTCACCTGTCCTCTCTTATGCTCTAGCGCCCTAAACTCCCAGAACCCTCTCATAATTCTATGCCCATAACATTCTCTTGCTCTGCCATCTTGGGCTCCCCAGCCCCTCTGTCCTCATTCCCATCTCCATGTGCCAAGCTTCAGGCACAGGACCTTGGGCTATTGTCTCTCATCCTGAGGGAATGTCATTTCCCTTCAGTCCCAGTGCTTGAGAATTCATCCTCTTCATTTTCCCCTGCCTTCTCCTGTTCTCTCTCTCCTCAGAGAATGGAGGCAGTAGTAGGCAACCGAGAAGATTGTGACATACTCCCAACCTCTTAATAATTGTTATCTTATCACAGCTATTTAAAAGTCTCATTACGTGCCTCACATGTGAAGTCTTAGACTTCATGGGAGACACATAAATCCTCCATTCAGACACTGAATGGGCCATTCAGACAAGATGAATTGCACAAAGGTTACAAAGCTACTCAGTCTACTTGTCCCAATCCGGTTCCCTCCCCACCGTCTTATACTGAACTTCTTGGAAATTTCCTATCGCATTTGTAATAGTTTCTTTTTAATGCACACAGATAAGTTCCTTTTAGTTTTTCCCCAAATGTCCTAGTTCAGTGGACTAGGAAACATTTTCATAAGATTCTGCCTGCTGTTGATCCCTGATTTCCCAGCCACCCAACCACCATCTTTTCACCTTCCCCTACCCCCTGTGTCCCGTCCCATTGCTTCAGAAAGAGGAAGTTCAGAGCTGACCTCATTCCAGAATTCTGAAAAAAAATACCAGTACTTTAGAAGAGCAGAAAGCCTTTACAACACCAGGATTGGGAAGAAGTAAAGTAAGAAAAGAGAAAATCCTTACACAGGGAACTACCTGATACACATGAAAACCTACATTGGAACCTCTCTTCTAGGTCAAAAAGGCCTTTTCTTCCCCTTCATAGAAACTGCAAGGTTTGAATCTGACCCAGAGACCCATCCTTGTCTAAGCTAGAAAGGGAATTTTGACTTGAAACTGACCGAGAGCTCAGACCAATCGAAGAGCAAGAGAAAGGGTGGCTGGGATGCCCGCTGGTGGGAGGAGCTCCTGAGCCCAGCCCTGAAGGCCTCAAGGGTTCAGGCGCCCCTCAGATCGCACCAGAGAGGAAGAGAGAGGAACTGGGGTGAGCAAGTATTGTGGTTTCCTGTTTCAGCAAGGCTGCTGTGCAAAAAGAAAGACAGTACCAAGAAGGGAAATGCTAAGGGGGCCCAGAGCCATGGATCGAGAGCTTGCCCCATCAGAGACCAGAGCCGAGATCTGCCCAGGAGCTGGGATGCTTTCCTGAGCTGCTTGGGTTGGAGCCTGGGACCCAAGGTAACTTAGGAGGAGGCATTTGTGTCCAGGTTGGGGACCTCCAATTCTGGGGTGGGGCAGAAGAGGCTCTGTCTGCCAGCTTCCCTGGTCTGAAGGGGGAGACACTGGAGTGGATGTTGTAGTTTGACTGTTGGGGGTTGGGTGAACAGGAAGGTGTCCCGCGTTGGTCTCCAGAGGCACAGCTTCCATCCCTCTCTGCTGCTTCCATAAGATCAGATTAGCAGTGAGTCAGATGACTAAGGGTTCAGGCTCCCCAGTGATGGGAGGTACATTTTACAGCTCCCTTCACAGCAGGGACCCCATAGCACCCAGCTGCCTGCCCAGCAGCTTGCATGCAGGCCCTTCTCTCCTACCTCACTCTGAGAGCTCTCGGCTAGGAAGGCCAGACCGTTCATTCATACGGGAGGCCATTTATCACACACACAGCAGGGAATTAGGAGCAAAGACCGCGAAAGGCAGCAACAAAGCACTGTCAGGTGAGGGCAGCGCCCTGATCTCCCCCTGTGGCAGTGAGGACAGTCTCCCCCAGCCAATACCACCCTTTCCCAGAGCTCCAGCTGGGCCCTGTCATGCCACCAAGTGCTGCCTGGGCAGTGGCCCAGTGACCTTTCTTTGAAGCACACGGGGACCCGTTCCATTTTCTTCTACAGCTCATCTCTATCAGTCAGCCGTCCACATGACTTCTTGTGTTTAAGCAAATCAGAATAGCCAAGACCTCCCGGAAAGCTGGGTATGATTCTACCCAGGTGTGCCACACCAAATCCTACCCAGTGTGAGAGCCTGGGGGCCTGAGAACGCTCACATCTCTGAGGAGACTTTCCCACTGCAACTCCCAGCTTGGGTAGCAAGGGCTAACGTCTGCGCCCCCCACACCGGAAACAGAGCAGGGCAGCCATGCGTTTCAGTGAACTAGTGTAGACAGAGCCCACACACTTATCTCTCCCAGACAGCCCTCTCTTCTTCACAGCAGGAGGCAGGATGATTCTCCACAATCAAGGGATCTGCCTCGTCTACGAAGCCTGAGGGATTACCTGGAACCAGACAGGGAGGGGACCTAGCGCCCCACATTTTAAAGGTGGGAAAGAGGCAGTCCTCTCTTCTTTGCCTTTCTGCCAGGCCTAACTGAAATGGCAGTTGTATCCAGACCACAGAGTAGTCCTTTCTCCCTGTAGCCTACACCCAGAAGTCAGAGGAACAGAGCAACAGTAAATATGATTTCAACCAGGGACCAGCATCGCCTCCGTGGGGTAGACAGTGCCCCTTCAAAGAGAAAGGGGGCAGGGGAGTTGGAGGATGAGGCATTCTTGGTCCTGGAGTGCTAGGTTAGCTCGGGGCGTTTGTCTTATAGCACTGAGTCTTCAATATCCAAGATCAGTAGGACAGGAGTGATAATAATCATATTATTATAAAAAGCGAACATTTATTGTGTGCTATGTCCCAGATGCTTGACGTGCATTTTCTCTTTAATCCTCATAACCTTAGGAGGTAGGTTCCCACTTTATAAATGAGGAGACAGAGACATAGAGACAGTTAATAGCTTGTTCAAAAGCACGTGGGTAGTAGATGACAGGGCCAGGACAGGAGTCCACACAGTCTGAGTCCAGGGTAGGGACACCCCGCCTCCCCCATTTACGGCAGAATAACTAGTGCCTATGGCTTAGGACACCACAAGTATAGATTCTGAAAGTGGAGTTTACCTGCACACCCAGTCCTTCATAATTTAATATGAATGGGCCTCTCAGATCCTTTCCTAAGTTTTTAAACAAAGAAAGTGGCAGGTGAGAAGTGAGGGGACCCTACAGAGTAGGAGTGAGGAGAAAAGCCTAAAGAAAGGGGAGAGGAACCCAGGGATGAGACGAGCGGACAAGCATTGACAACCTAACAGTTCTGCTTGGGGTCAGCACTGCCCAAGGCCAGGAGTTGCCCCTCCAAGCCTGGAGAGTCAGGCATTGGAGAGCGAACAGGGTCTGACTGTGTAAGACCCCCTCTCAGGGTGTGATACGACCCCACCCATGAGCCCCCGGAAGGAGTCGTATGACCAGAGAGAGAAAGAGTGAGCAAGAATCCTGCAGAGAATTCCAGACTGATCCAGGAGGAGCAGGGAACTCCAATGAAAGGGCGGAGAGGCTGCTACCTGTCGAGTCTGTTTGACTATAAATAAACCAGAAGGGCCAGTGCCAGCAAATGCCTCCTGGTTGGTGAAGCTGAGAAATCCCTTCACTGACCTCCCCGGGAACTAGATTCCCAGGGCAGTGGGTAGTGAGGCTGTGGGACAGAGAGAGGCGGCAACTGTAAGGGGAAGTCCCCCTCCCTTCTTCAGTCTCTGGACTGACCCCAGGGACCAGAATTTCCAGTGCTCAGAATCCAGCTTAGCCATGTCCAGCCCCAACTCAGCCAAGCTACCAGAGGGTTCTGGGAGAATGAACAAATTTGCAGAAGGTAGGTGAGGGAGAGTAGGAAAGAGAGAGAAGGGCATGGAGAAGGCAGAAGGGGTGAGGGTGGGGTTATGTGAGTAGCAGGTGAGGCCATGTAGAGGGGCAGCAAGTGTGGTCTCTACTCCAAGCCTGGTTCCCTGGGGACTTTTGGTTACTGTTTTTGTTTGTTCGCTTTGGTTTCCTTTTTCTTGGCAATAGCCTTATTTACGTATAATCCACATCGTTGCTGGTTTCAATGGCGCCATCTGTGTCTGGGCTGAGGAAAGCAGACTCGGCACCATACTTAGCCCTAACAGGGAGGTGATGCTAAAAAAATGGAACCTGCCACTTGAAGAGATACTGAGCTGAAAGCTCAGTATGAAATGAGTTTTGGCCCGTGATGGGCAAGTGGCAAGTAATCAGCCAGTGCGGATCTGGGTTGTCCTGTACCTCAGAGTCAGAGCCCAGTCCTGGGCCAGGAGTGGAGTGCCAAGGGACCGAGGTCAGGGCTCCATGACTGTAGGCAATAGCGTGGGGTGTCCCTCCCGAACCATGCCCTGGACCAGGCTGGCAAGATAGCTGCTAAAGGCTAAACAGAGGACAGTGAGTGCTGGTCATAGGACTGGTAGCACATCGAGGGGTTTGGCTATCCCTCCAGGCCTTGAGAAAAGTTGCTCACCTATGTGAGTAACAACTGGGCCAAGAAAGCAGTGAAGATTCTGGCTTTCCTTTTAGATTGGGGATCAGGGAGCCAATTTAACTGGTTCTTTAGAAGTCCCTGGAAAAGGAACACAGCCCCATCTGCCCTCCAGAAAGCTAGACGCTTTTAGTGATTTTTATCAATTATTTCTCACGTTCCCCTAACTTGGAGGCAGGGTGAGACGTTTGGTCAAGGAAGAAGTGGCAGCAGAGGAATCTCGCCACTTTGCAGAAGGGGAGACGCAGGCCAGAGAAGAGCAGAAATTAGTCTAGAGGCTGAATCCAGATGTCCTGAGTTCCCGTGTGACATCATCCCCTCTTCAGTTGTCAACCCACACATATGGGATGCTGTGCTATTTCTGCCCCCTCGTCCAGGAAGATGGCCATTTTTCGGCCCATCTCCTGACCCCTCCTCTTCGCCTCCCTGTTGGCACTTGGCAGATCCGGGCAGCTATTCCAGGAACTGGAAGCCAAGCACAACAGGTGCTCGGGAGGCCATCATGATCAGCCCAGACCCTAGGCCTGCCTCTGGCTTGGCCCGGTGGGCTGAGAGCTACGAGACCAAGTACGAGCGCCGGCAAGAGACCCGTGAGAGCCGCCGCTGCCGCCCCAATGTGACCACTTGCCGCCAGGTGGGGAAGGTGCTGAGGACCCAGCAGAGGGAACATCTCCAGAGGGCACGACAACAGCAGTTTTTCAGACGGAGGAACCTGAAGGTGGAAGAGAAAGGCGAGGCACAGAGCCCGCAGGCCGGGGAGCCAGGTCCCTCCAGGAGGCAAGGCCAGGCGACCGACCTCAAGGAACCCTTGTCTTGGGCCAACAGGATTTCTTCCCCCAGACAGCAGGTGGGCCATGTTGAGGGACACAGTGCTCTGGAGGGGATGGGGTACAGCACCAAGACAGGTGGGTGGGCTCAAGGTCACTAAGAAGTGATTTAAATGAAGTCCGTCCTTCCTCAGTCATCATAAAGTCTCCCTTAGCCACTTACTCAACAGATATCTTTGTTGTTGTGTTTTGGGGGTGTTTTTTGTTTAGCTATTTTTTTACTTTGCACTTGCCTTTTAGGAGAGAAAAGAATAATTTAAAAACAATTCCATAGCTAATTCCTAGTATTAGTTCAAATTCAGTCTATCTAGACATATCTCCTACAGCATTCATTCATCCGTCATTCAACATTCAATGAATGCTTACTGTAGGCCAGGGACACAGACCAATCTTCTTAATGTCTCCCTCAAATCACACACACACACACACACACACACACACACACATTTCTCATCTCTATTCTCCTGTAAGCCTGCTGCATCACCCACCTTCTCTCTTTCTCTTGGGCCATCCCAATTCCAATATCGTTCACCTAAGGCCGCATCTGGCCCAGGAAGCCCTAGCTTCCCTAGCTTCTCCAGGCCACCTCTGCTCTCTGTGGTTTTTATGAGGTTATAAATCCTCGAAGATTGTATAACTTTTAGAGGGCCCATTAGTCCGCCCTGGGAAGGAGCAGTGCTGGCAAAAGCCAGGGTACGTTGAAATGAGCTCAGCCAGCAAACCATCTGTGTCTTCCTATCCACATTGTGAGCATGTGGACAGCAGGGATGGGTCCTCCGGATTCCCTGGAAGTAACTGGTATTGTACTGTCCCCAGAGTAGGTGCTCTGTTGGGCCTTCTTAACCAGTGCATGTGTTATCCACAACAGGAGGTGCTGTTCAGAAAAATGATCCTCGAGCCCAGCTGTAAAATAAAACCAACTGTGTACTTTCTAAGGCAAGAAGGTTTCTACGTGCTTTCGGTTGAAAAAATAATTTTAAGGAGAAATAGAACAGAAAACACAGTTACCTAAAGAACTCTTCCTGAGCCTATCAGTTATTTAAGGTTTCTTGAGATAGAGTTAGTCTGCAGGATTAGCTGCCACATGCATTTCTTAGCCTTTTAGTGTTATGTTACAAACATAATTTTTTTTAGTTTGTAAGAAGAAAATATAAAAATAGCAAGCAAAATTGTGACAACTGCTGCTACGTTCCTCCCTACAGCTGCCTAATTTACCTTCTCTTCACACAAAACCTCAACAATAGTCCAGCTGTTACTAAGAGGAAGGAAACCACCTCTAGAATAGGAAGGCACCTTGGACACCATCTACTCCAAGCTCCTCATTATACAGCCAGGAGACTGAGACCAAGAAAAGGCAGGACCTGATCCCAGATCCCCTCACTCCCACCTCAGACCGGTTCTCTTTCCGGGATCAGGGACTCTAGAGAGAGTAATTGGAGACAAGCCCAGCTCCCCATTTGCCTGAACTGAGGAGGACCGATCCCACCAGCCAGGACAAGAAAGGGCAGGAGCAGGGATAACCTTGTAGCTTTGAAGGCTTGAATGGGTTCCTTTGGTTTTCTGGACCTGAAACTTGATCACTGGCTCATCTTTCTGCAGTCAGCTGGAGAATCCTGTTCTAAGATGCTCTCAGCATCCCGCATTTGCTTTCCAGGTGTCAGGGACCAGCTCCGAGGTCTTTGCAACCCAACACCAGCCTCCCTCAGGCTCCTGGAGGGATCCGGCTGACCACCTCCCCTCCCAGGCTGGGGGCCTTCCACCACAGGACCCTCCCATCAAGAAGCCACCCAAACACCACCGTGGTAAGAGCAGGGCCTTCCTCACTCACTGGGCCGAGGCATTTCCACTCGCTGGCAGTGGAGAGTCCCTATCCCTCCCCACTTCCCTCACTGCCTCTCCCATGGGTTCTGAATCACCTTATCCCTATCCCTCAGGCACTCAGACAAAGGCAGAAGAAACACAGCCAACAATTAAGCATGATGCCAGTCAGCAAACCAAGTGAGTACCTTTCATGTTCCTGACCTCAACTCCTTCACAGCCCATCCATTCCTCTCTCCTAAGCTTTTACCTGAACCCTCCCCCAGAATGTGGAGAGGAGCACAAGGAACTTCCACGTCCACCTTAATTAAGAAAAAGGAAGGCCTTCCCCCCGCTTCCCCATTGGCTCTTCAGAAGAGATCAGAGAAGGAATCAATACAACTGCCTCCTGACACTCTTATTTCTTTGATCCATTGTCATTTTTGTTTTTTATTTTTTTGTTTTTTTCTTCTCTTCCAGTTATGGAGTTGCAGTTCTAGATAAGGTAAGAAAATCCTCATGGTGAAGGTGTTGAATCAGGTGGCATCTAATCTCCTCCAAGCTCTGACATTCTGGAATTCCATGGTAAACTCAGCTGGGATGGAGGGGTACCCTCTTCCTAGATGAGCATAGACATGGGGGCCTGGAGGGACCCTGAGTCAAGGAAGAAAGTTTACTCAGCACAAGCCAATCCTGGCTCGGGTTCCATGTTCTAGGATTTCAGGGAACCTACGATCTTCTTAAATACCTTTTTCTTTCTCTCTAGGAAATCATCCAGCTTTCTGAGTACCTCAAAGTAAGTAACATGTGAATTCTCCCTGCAGCTCCTCCATCCATCTGCTCCCTTCTCCTCCAACTTAATCTTACCCTCTTGCATTTTGCCCCCCAGGAGGCCCTACAGAGGGAGCTGGTTCTAAAACAGAAAATGGTGATTCTCCAAGACCTACTGTCTGCCCTGATTCGGGCCTCTGACAGCTCTTGGAAGGTAAGGGAAACCTTTGCTTGAACAAAGCTCATGGATTTCTATGTGTGCCTATCTCATTCTTCTTTCCATACCATCCCAGCAAGAGAAGGGGCTTTTTTGCTACTGAAGAGGCTGAAGGTGGGGGATGGTGCTAAGACCTAAAGGTCAAACATGTCACAGTATTGAGCTTGGCTCAGTCCAGGGTGGTCAGCTGAGGACACCCCCAGGGAAGACCCAGAACCAAGAGAGGCAAGAGTTTCCATTTTTTAATTTGTTGGAAGAAAGAAAGGACGGTCCCAATTCAGTTAATATTACTGACTGTGATAAATGCAACTATTTTCATATGGGATTCACACCAATATTAATTCCAAGTCATCCTACACCTACTAGTCAGCCCAGACGTGAATGTCAAAGCGGGAAGGGACCTTGGAGATTAGCTAATTTTCTCATTTTGCCAATGAGGAAACTGAGTGTCAGAGAGGTCAGGTGACTAGTCCACATTCACACTTCTAGTTAGAGGCAGAATTGGAACTAAAATTCAGACCTCCTGATTTTAGTCCATTCATTCAACAAATATTCATAAGTCATGTTCTCTACACTGAGCACTGGAAATGAGATTAATTAGACAGGGTTCCTGCTTTTAGAGAGGCTGCGGGTCAGGGAGACAGAAGCCTAAACAATGCAGAGATGTGAGAAATAAATGTTTTGAGGATATAGTAGAATACAAGGAGGAATGAACGACTCCACAGAAGGGGAGAACCAGGGAAATATTTATAGTTATATTAGTATTTTCCAGGCAAATGTGGAAACAAGAACTATATTCTGGGCAGGGGATACAGCATAGGCAAAGAACCAGAGGCATGATATAGGCTAATGCAATGGGTCTCCAGCTTTTTAATCTCAGGACCCCTTTATACTCTTTAAAAAAAATTATTAAAATCCAAAGAACTTTTTATATTTACCACTTTGAAATGAAAAAAGGAATCTTAAAATATGTATTAATTTTAAAATAACAATAGTAAATAGATTACATGTGAACCTAAATTATATATTTTTGTGAAAAATAAGTATATATTTTTTTTAAAAAATAGTGAGAGGAGTGGCATTGTTTTATGCTTTTTCAAATTTTTGTTTGGTTTTGTTTTTTGGGTTTTTTTAACATCTTTATTGGAGTATAATTACAGTGTTGTGTTATTTTCTGCTGTATAACAAAGTGAATCAGCTATATGCATATATATATCCCCATATCCCCTCCCTCTTGCGTCCTCCTCCCTCCCTCCTTATCCCACCCCTCTAGGTGGTCGCAAAGCACCGAGCTGGCAAATCTTTTTAATGTCTGAACGGAAGACAGCTAGATTCTCGTATTTGCGTCTGCATTCAGTCTGTTGTTAATACATTGTTTTGGTTGAAGCATATGAGGAAAATCCAGCCTCACACAGATATGTAGTTGGAAAAGGGAAGACCTTGCAGATCCTGGATTCCCAGGGGTCCTTTGACCCCACATCGAAACCCCTAGACTTTAATGTTCAGAGAGCATAAGCAGTTTGATGCGACTGGAGCAGAAAGCCCCGGGTGCACAGAGAGAACACACAACCTCCCAGCCTCCGTGAACATCTGACCTTACCACGTAGATGGCTGTGCTTAGACAGAGAGATGGGATGGGAGGACGTGGGACAAAACTAAGAAGTTTGCAGTGATGTCGAAGAGACTCCTAGGCTCAGCCCTCCCTCTTCGCGTCGGTCACTGTATCCGGATTTAGGTGTTTATGTTCAGGGCTCCTGCTGGTTAAGGAAGTTGTTTTCATAACTGAGTAGGAGCCTGAGACAGACAGCTGTGCCTGCCAGGTGGTTTCCGGTGCTGAACTAAACTGAGATTGTCTCATTCGTTTATTCAACAGACGTCTGATAAGTTCCAACTATGTGCTGGTTTGGGTGCTACAGGGACAGAAGTAGGGTCCTTTGTCTTTAGGAGTTCCAGTAGCAGCCAGGAAGAGACAGACAGGTCATAAATAACTCTACTGCAGTGTGCTAAAGCTGTAACAGCACTTTCTACAAAGTGACACAGAGAAAAGAGAAGGGAGCAATTCTTCTGCCTGAGGTGGTATAGGGTAGACTCCAAAGGAAACGGACCACTTTAGCGGGGTCTGGAAGGATTGAATAGGAGTTTACCAGTACAGAAGCAGGAATGATGAAGGGTAAGAAGAAGGAAAAAGGAAAAGGGTGCTTACAGTAAAGGAATCAGAATGATTACAGGCCTAGGTGTAACAAAGCGTAGGGTATAGCAGAGTGTGATGGAAATGAAGGGACTGTGTCAGAGTAGCTCCAAAGATAAGACCGAAAGGGCCTCCGATAGGTCTCTAGAATTATGGCGCTTAAACTTTTTCTGTTGAATAGGGTATCTCAAACTTAATAGTTATAGATTCCCTCTTAAAGGAAAAGTATATATATATATATATATATATATATATATATATATATATATCATGAGAATGCATGCCACCCCAGTTTGAGAAACACTGCCACAGGCAATAAGCAGGGGAGCAGTGGGACCACATTTTCCTCAGGTTTAAAGCCCTACGCTTAGCAGTGTCCAGCCCATCCTGAGAAGGAGCTTGTCCAGTAGCCGTGGAGTTGCACTCGCTTGGCAGCACGTGTACTAAGATAGCTGTGGTGGGACTTCCTTGGCAGTCCAGCGGTTAAGACTCCACGCTTCCAATGCCGGGGGTGCGGGTTCGATCCCTAGTCGGGGAAGAAAGATCCCACATGCTGTGCGGCGTGGCCAAGAAATAAATTAATTAATTAAATGAAATGAAAAAGATAGCTGTAGAACTGAGTTGAAAGCGATTGATCAGATCTGTGTTTTATAAACCTTATAAAAGGTTCTCTGACAACAATGAGGACCCTGGCTACCAGTGGGTGTAGGGGTGGTGAAAGTTCTTGCAATACTGCAGGTAAGACACAATCAGAACTTGAATTACAGCCAGCGTGGTGGGAATGGGGAGGATTTATTAAGAGACATTTCCAAGGTAGACTCTGAGGGTGGTTTAGCTCCATGCTCCTGCGGGGGGCAGGAGTTCCTCCAGCTGTGGTTTTCTCCCTCCCTTCTCCCCCCACCACCTAATATTCACCCTTTTTGTCTTCTTCCTCCCCACAAACCCCTCAGCTTCCTGTTTTTAAGAAAAATAGTCTCAGGTTTTTTCAGTTAACAGCTCTTGCTTCCCCCAAAACAAGACAATTCAACCCCCTACCCCTTCCTTGGAAAGCTCAACTTCAATGAAAAGACAGTCCCAGACTGCCGTACTTGGGAAAAGTAAGTGGAAGAATGTGGCCAGAACAGGGACTCCGATATTCAGCCAAGTTCAGGCCTTTATTTTTTTTCCATTTGGCCTCCATAATTTGAATCTCCAACTGCACATGCAGAGAAGCTCACCACAAACTCTATTAGAACACCAGAGATCAGCTCCCTCTGTTGCCTCCACCTTCAAGCTGACTTTGGGCCTTTTGGATGTGACAGGCCCTGGGGCACAGCAGAGACTCCTGACTGGCTGCAAGCTTCAGAGCAGAAACAGTTCGGGCAGTAGAGAAAGCAAGCCCTCAGTATGGGGCAATACAAACCCAGAGCAGGGCACACGTGGGTTTTAAGTTCTGCAAAGTGGAAATGAGATCTTAAGATGACAGCGCAGTGGGGGATTGGCTGCAGGCCCTAAGCAACCTCTAGTAGAGCAGAGAGATAAGTGGGCTGGTGCTTCTGCAGTGAGGCGGTGGTGTTTCTGGAGAGCAGATCAGAGGCAGGGGAAAGCCAAGCAGAGGCAGGAGCTGAAGCCCTCAGACCGGGTGTGTATGGCCTCCACCTTGCTCCCTTTTACAAGCGGGGGTACTATGCTCTCTGAACCCTGGGTTCCTGGGATGCTACTGCCAAAAAAGTTCCACAATTGGCCTGTAAAAAGTGCTCCTTTCCTCATACTGTACCACTGGGCTTCATGTGGGGAGAGCTGGGGCTCAGACCAGGAAACCACATGCCCCATTTGCAACAACTTGGCCGTAACTTCCCTGCCTGCCTTAGGGAGTCTGGGCAGGCGGAGCTGTGGATCAGAGATGTTTTCAAGCCCCAGACTTGGGTGGCCCTTCGTCTCCACTGAAGGGGCTAACTGAATTGTCTTCTATTACAACATGAATGGAAAAGTAATCTGGGGAGTGGCTAAAACACAAAAACAGTTGGAAGAGGCAAAAATACTGGATAGAAACCATACTAAGGAAGGAGAAGGGAGCTACCCAGAAAGGGTAGGAGACTGAGGGAACTGTAAGAATATTGCCTTGGGCTTGTTTGTTTTCTTCTGAAACTACCACAAGATAAACTGTCAAACTTAGTGGGTTTCATTGCATCCTGCAAAGTAAGAGTTTAGGCAAAGGAAAATACACAGTCAGACTCTCTGAACCTGGAGCTGCCATACAGGTGGAGGGAGTTGATTTCAGGACCTGTGGATTAAGAATGAACAGGCCATGCAGGGGAGTAACTTTTCCCAGTTACTCCGGAGCCCAGAACAGTGGAAGTCTTTTCCATCTGTTCTATCTGTCCCAAAGCCCTGTGGTTATTGTAGATGCCAAATCCTGACTCTCGGCTCTCACACCAGACATTATGAAAAACGTTAATAGCAGGAGGCACTTTGAAAAATTACTTTTGGCAAAGCCTTTTGCTTTTGCAAGACCCCGCTGAGGAATACAGGAAGGAAAAAGGGTGGAGGTGCACCCTGGCTCCCAGGGTTAGAAGAATCGGCCAAACAAGATCAAAACAGGAGCTGTGAGATACCACTTCCTGCCTCTCCCAGGTGCCCTGAAACTCAGTGAGGGGGACAGACCTCAGAACAGAGGCTCGGGCTTCCCTGGTGGCGCAGTGGTTGAGAGTCCGCCTGCTGGTGCAGGGGACACAGGTTCGTGCCGCGGAGCGGCTGGGCCCGTGAGCCATGGCCACTGAGCCTGTGCATCCGGAGCCTGTGCTCCGCAACGGGAGAGGCCACAACAGTGAGAGGCCCGCGTACCGAAAAAAATAAAAACAAAACAAACAAAAAAAACAGAGGCTCCTCTGCCCTCTGGCCATTACAGACCAGAAACGTTGTAAGGGTTGGAAACGTCCAAGCCTTGTCCAAGCCGTCTCCCGACGGAGAGGGACGGTGGCGTCTCAGGCCTGAGGAGAAATGTAATTTCTAGACCTCACAAGCGTCCCACGGGGCCTGGTTGGAAAAGCCAGCGAAAGGATATGAGAACCGGTTACTGCTAAAGAGACCCATGGCCTTTTCTCTGGGAAACTGGCTCTCATCCATGGTACCTCCCCACCCTCACCCCCTCACACACACGACCTTAAATCAGACTCAGGACTGGAGGGACAAAACCCCTACCTGGGAAAAAGGAAGATGTCTACACATGGAGGAAAGAATAAGGCAGCAAGGAAGCTGTCGGCTGCTCAGCAGAAATACTGCAAAACTGAGAAACAGATAACTGGCCTTCCTGCCTGCCTTTCACCACCCCCGCCCTTGAGATTTACGTCCCTCTTGGAATGTCCAAAATGCCACTAGACAGACCCAGATCGTGAATAAATAGCGTGTGGCTCTCTGGGAGGTCCTCTCACCACCACCGTCACTACCACGCACGCATACACACCCTGCTCTAATATCCCTCCTCCCTTTCCTGCTTTCTTAAAGAATTTCTCATCTTGAGTCGTGTGTTTGTGTGTGTGTGTGTGTGTGTGTGTGTGTGTGTGTGTGTGTGTGTGTGTGTGTAGGGCAGGGAGGGGACTGTATTCGTTTGCTAGGGCTGCTATAACAAAGTTCCACAGACTGGGTGGCTTCACCAATAGAAATGTATTTTCTCACAGTTCTGAAGGCTAGAAGTGTGAGAACAAGGTGTTGACACGGTTGGTTTCTTCTGAGGCCTCTCTCCTTGGCTTGCAGATGGCTTTCTCCTCCCTGTGTCCTCATATGGTCTTCCCTCTGCATATCCTGATGTTCAAATCTCCTCTTCTTATGAGCACACCAGTCATACTGGATTAGGGCCCACCCTAAGGACCTCAATTATCTCTTTAAAGAACTTATCTCCAAATACGGTCACCTTCTGAGGTACTGGGGATTAGGAGGTCAACGTATGAACGTTGTGGGGAGGTTAGGGGGACATAATTCAGCCCATAACAGGGGGTAAGGGAGGGATGTATGTTCCCCCTGGGAGGGGAGACCCCTTTAGTCCTATTGGCCTTTAGAGGTAAAGGGCCATGTACTAGACTGGGAGGAGGTGCGGAGTATATAAGTGCCTGGACAGACAGGGGAGAGAGGTAATGAAAGAAGAAAAGGAGAGCTTAGAAGCTTTCCTTCAAATGGGCCCCTGCTACGATACCCTGAGCCATTTGATACAAAACCTCAAGGTACACAGAAGACTTTGGGGGCCAGTCTGATTCTTCCTTCTCCTATTACAGAGAAAGAGGAAAAGATCCTTTTCTTTCCAAACATCTGTCATCTCTCCCTCTCTCTACCTCCTGAAAGAGCTCAATTCCACAAACACTGTTTATTCTAGGCAGTAGGCTGGAAATGCGGAACAAAACTCTTTGCATGCTGTATTCTGGCCCAAGCTGTGTTCTGGCTAACTCATCCCATTTGCTCCAGGGCCAGCTTAATGAAGACAAATTGAAGGGCAAACTGAGATCTTTGGAAAACCAGCTGTACACCTGTACCCAGGTAAGCATTCCGGAGGACACTTCTAGCCCAGGAATCTAGAATTAAGGGAGAGAATGCTTGAACGTCAAGCTTACTCTCTAGAAACATCACCTGCTAGAGATTAATGCACCCATCCCTACTCACCCAGTTCTGGCCTTTACCATTTTCACTTTGGTCTCCAATTCACCAAAACACTATCTCCATCCCCCTCTCCCTTTCTCCTGGTGTCCTTCACTTTGTACCCTAGGAAAGGAAGCCCAGCACTAAGCGCTTTGCCAGCTCCAGGGGAACCTTGAGAATACCTGGAAACGTAGGGAGAGGCCCTTGGTAAAGATTCAGCTCACCTGGATAGAACTTCACAGGCCCGAATATTTGAACAGATGAGTTGGATATTACAATGAAGTCTCGCAAAATGATTTTCATGCCATGGGCAACTTTTATCTAGCAGCAATCCCTGGGAGAAAGTAAAAGACTGTGACTCCTGGCTTTCTGTGGCATTGTTATCCAGCTCCGGTAATCTCTTGATTGGCCTGATCTTGGATTATATGAAATAGAAAAAAGTCAGTTTTCACACTCGAGAAGTGATAGATTTCTGACAGGCGGGGAGATAAGTCAAGAGAACGAGATGAACCGGCCAGACTGCTCCCACTTGATGTTAGGAAGATAAGGTGGCCATGTAGTTAGAATTTTGCAGGGGAACATAGTCTATATAGTCAATGGGTTTGCGGATCCACAACTTTTATTTTTTCAGTAATGCCAACCAAGCTCATAAGAGACTGACATATAATCCAGAATGCCAGTCTACTCGTTTTCAATGGGGGATAAAGCTGGTCAGTGACCAGCATGGTTAAGTCCAATAACCTGGACATAACCATGTATGATCTCAACCAGTAACTCCTGTATCTGGTTTCTAATGACAATTCCAAGAACATAAGACCCACTCAACATTTAAATCCAAATTTTCAGGTGACTCCAAAGCTAAATGGAAATGATTTGATATTGAACTCTAAATTTGCGTTATCTAGACTATCTCTTACCCAGTTGGGTAACCCAGAATCGATAGAAAAAAGACTCCTGCTTTCCCAGGAGGGCATAAAAATGAAATCACAGGGCATAAAAATGAAAAGCACTGGAAGGGCAAGACCCCCAGTGAATTTGCAAAGCTGCTCGTGTCTTTTTCTTTTTGATCTTGAAGCCAGGAGAAATTCTAAAAATACTAATGTATTAATTTTTAAAACTTGACTTTACTGAATATTGTTCAGATCCCCAAGCCTACAAAAATAATTTTATTTTTTAAAAAATGCTCCCTGCCTCAAAGGAGCTTACAGTCCCTTAAAGGAGACAGATGAGTCAATAGATTAGAAATATAGATACTATATGAACACCAGTAAAACTACCTAATCCATAAAGAGTCAGGGGGTAGGTATGGTTGGCCAAGTTTATCAGAATTTATGATTCTAGGGCTTAATCTTGAACATGGGTAGAAGTTAACCAGGTGAAAAGTGTGGGTCACGATACTCTAAGTAGAAGAAGCTTTATGGGCAAAGGCAGAGGCTGAAAAGCACAGTGCTTAGGGGAGCTACAAGCAGTTCAGCTTGCGTGGAGGCAGCATGAGATGAAAGTCTGGGCTTGTAAGTAGAAACCATGCCAAGGAGTTTGGACCTGATTCTTAGAACACTGAGAACCACTGAGAGATTTAAGCAGGTTGTGACGTGATCAGATTTAAGTTTTAGAAAGAACCCCCTAGCTGCAGGACTGAAAAGGGTTTGAAGGGAGGCAAGGCATGAAGATAATATATAGTCTCGATATAATCCATATAATAGTATTACTGGGGTCTGAACTAAGGAGGTGGCAGTAGGAATAGAGGATACAGGTACGAGCTGTTAAAGACATTGACTTGACAAAGCTTGATGTTGAACTGATTCCTTGAAGAAGGTGAGAGAGAAATCAAGGGTGATCCCCTGGTTTAGGGTTTGGGAGACTTGGTGGGTGGTGATGCTGGTCACTGAGATAGGAGCAGGTTTAGAAAGATGATTTCCCTTTGGAAATGTTGGATTTCAAGTGCCTGTGGAAGGCCTAGGGGAGAATGCCCAGCATGCCCAGGGCAGTTTTTTATCCCCACTCACCTCTCACATCACCTGAGGGACTCTCCCTGCCTGCCTCCAGCCTGGAAGAAGGTCCACCAGATTACTGACATCTCTGCCCTGTGGGCAAGGACCAATTTCTTTTCATTTCTGTATCCCTGCTCAGGCTTTAGCACACAGTAGCTCAATGTGTATTTGTTGAATTGCCTCAAATTTACAGAAATACACTCCTTGGGGAATGAATAAGGTGCTATTAGAGATGGAAGACCAGAAAAACAGCTATGAGCAGAAGGCCAAGGAGTCACTGCAGAAAGTGCTGGAGGAGAAAATGAGTGCAGAACAGCAGCTGCAGAGCACACAGGTGTGGGGACGCTCCATAATCCTTGGGGCTGGGAACCCTGGGGCAGTCTGGGTGGCAGGGGAGCCAGCTGCACGACCTCCTGGAACCCCCAAGGCACCACCCTCTCCTCTGATCTCCCTCAGCGGTCCCTGGCTCTGGCCGAGCAGAAGTGTGAAGAGTGGAAGAGCCAGTACGAGGCTCTGAAGGAGGACTGGAGGACCCTGGGGACCCAGCACAGGGAGCTGGAGAGCCAGCTCCACGTGCTTCAGTCCAAACTGCAGGTACCAGGCCCTGGGAGTAGGGAGGTGGGGAGGGAAGGCAGGGTTTAGGGGAGGGAGGTGTTGACAGCAGTGATGAGAGAAGCTGCCGCTAGGCAGGGGGACCCAAAGCTAATTTTGAGTTTAGCAAGGATGTCTGCACTGCTCATGCAAATGACCTAAGTGTTCATTGAAATGACATCATCCGAATGCAAAGGGCTGGGCTGGAATAGTCATCAGCCTACTGTCATGCCCCAACCCACTCTCTGCACCCCATCCCAGCAGGGCATCCAGTTCAGAAATGCCCACTATTGGGGCAGAATAAATGTCACCAGTTTACTTACAGTTTGAGTATCAACTAACACATCTTGCCAATGTGTTTTTTAAGCCATTACAGTAGACCCTTGGCATTCTCAAGGGTTCCATCATTTCCAATCCGTGTTTACCTTGGAGAAGTTAACTAACCTCCTAAGCCTCAGTTTCCACATCGGTAAAATGAGGATAATAATGGTACCTCTATCATAGGATCGTTGTGAGGATTAGGTGAGGAAATCCATGCAAAGCACTTAGCACAATGCCTCGCACATATAAGCTCTCAATAGATATTAGCTATTGTTTTTCACAGATTTTACTTGGTTTGGAATTTTGAGGACCCACCTCAAAAGTGTCTCTTTATACTTTTACTGAAGCTGGGATCTGAGAATCCTAGTGTGTGCCAGTTCTAGAAATAAGATCAATTAAGTGTGAAAGTTGTTTTTGTTTGATTTGTTATGTTTTTTAACAACCTAAACCTTAATGTGTGGCTCTAAGGTGAGCAGGGAGAAAAGGGAACATTTTGAGTGATTGTAAAGAATTTGTTGGGGGGATGGTGGTCCAGATATCAATGTGTTTGAGTTTTATATACAATATCCTATTAGCAATGAAGAAGAGTGCAACTCTAGTTCAAAGTCATTAAAAAGACATTTGTAATTCCCTTATTACCTCGAGCAGTTTGTACTCATAGACATATTTGTTTATGAAGAATTAATGTTCCAAATGTAGAAAAAGGAAGAACCGATCAGACAGAGGAATGGGGGTTAAAACCATTTAAGGTTGGGCTTCCCTGGTGGCGCAGTGGTTGAGAGTCCGCCTGCCGATGCAGGGGACACAGGTTCGTGCCCCGGTCTGGGAAGATCCCACATGCCGTGGAGCGGCTAGGCCCGTGAGCCATGGCCCATGAGCCATGGCCGCTGAGCCTGCGCGTCCCGAGCCTGTGCTCCGCAACAGGAGAGGCCTGCGTACCGCAAAAAAGATTTATCTATAGATTTCCTTTCAAATCTACTAAAAAACAGAAACCTTAGAATTTGCTTCTCGCTTTTTTTGCTTCTCACTTTTTATATTCTTATGTACAAATTATTCTTATATTGTTCTTTAATTTTTTATTTTAAAAGGCAAAGAATTTCTCAAAGGACATTAAAATTCTTTTTTTTTTTTTTTAAAAAAAAAAAGCCCATTTGATAAGAAACAGCAAGTGAGTCGTCGTATCACAGGAGGGAACCTCGCTGGGCGCTGCACCGCAGCCACATCTCACCCACTGTTCTCTTCCTCGAATCACCTACAAGGCAACCCTCCTGAAGGCCCTTTTCTTTTTTAACCTTAATCCGTTGTGAAAAATGATCCTACCCGCCTCCTCCCCCTCCAACCCGCCTCCCCCCGCCACCCCGGATAGCGTGAGAATGAGAAGTAAAGACAAAGTGAAGACATCTAGAAAAGTGATAATTCAGTAATCCTTAATTTGGGCATTTACCCAAATGTATCCCTTGTGAACATCAAAAATCTAATGCACTGTTTGCTGTAAGCGTGAGGAATAGAGCAAAGCAAAGAATTTAAAAACTTTTCCTATTTTTCCATTTCCCTAAGGCTCCTTCCAGCTCTAAAATTCCACAATTTTCTACAGTTTTCCTCTTCCTTGGGATCTGCCCCCCACCTCCACCCTAGCACTGACCTGCTTGTGTCCACCCCTCCTCCTCCTTCCAGGGAGCAGACAGTAGAGACTTACAGATGAACCAGGCCCTAAGGCTTCTGGAGAACGAGCGCCAGGAGCTGCAGACCAAGACTGAACGCCTGCAGCGGGACAGAGACCTGTGCAGCTCGGATACCCAGCACCTACAAGGTACCCTTCTCCTTGGAGGCCTCTGGCTGAAGGAGCCCAGAGAAAGGAAGCTGGGTGGAGAAAGGCTTCAGTCTTTCACTTGTTCTTTTGGTTGACTTGGCGATTTCATTTGACTTTGAGAAAAAGTCAAGGCTGTTTTAATCATCCAAGACTGAAAGTATCCAGCCCATTCCTCTAAGCCAGAACACAGCAGTCACGTGTCAAGGGCGCATTCCTAATTTAAAGGGAAAGGTCAGTTGAAACACAAGGCATAGTGAAGGTTTCCCAGTCACAGCCTCTGTCAGCTGAGAGAGGACCAAATTATGTGCACATATAACCCTTAATTCAGCCCACTGTTGATGCAGATGAAATCCCAGGTAGTCGGGTTCTGGTTCACCTCTTCCAAACTGGGACAAGCAGAAGAAAGAGCAACTTCCACTGGACACTTGTCAGATGCCATGGGCAAGACAGCATCTGTTACTAATTTCCAGCCTCAGGGGTGAGCTCATTAAGTCTTAGGTTCGTCTATTTTGGTTTGCATTATTTCATTTTCAGATCAACTAAAGAGGTCAGAGGAGGAGAAACTTGCCCTGGTGACCAAAGTACAGCAGTTGCAGAGTAAGTCCCTTTTCCAGATTCTGAAAGTAGCACAGGTGGCTTTTTGGTATTCTTGGGGCTCCTGCCCCACGATAGGCACCCAAAGGAGGGATGGGGAGCCTGGTCCTTGGCATATCCTCTACCTCTGCATTTTCAGACCCTCTTCTTCTGCAGTGAGGTCATTTACAGCTCTTCACAAGTTCCACATTAGCCTCTGGGTTTTTTTGTTTCTACTTTTCTCCGCCATGTTCTCTGACAACCACCTGCATTTCCCCCAGAACTGCAGATTTCAAAACGTGTTGAGTTTTCTAAGGTATTTCTTATTTTATATATTCTAATTTATTATGTACATATGTCACATAGACCTGTCACTAGGAATGGTTCAGAAAATAAGCTCACACCACATATGCTTCAGTCCACTTCAAAATTACATGTTGAGGCCAAAGAAGAAAAGGGACGTCTCAGAAGAAAAGCAGGCAATTTCTGAAAAGCTGGAGAACCTGATTCAATTAATAGCTCACACCTTAACCTCTGACACCCTGACAGAGAAGTTTCATGCAAACAGCAATGAATATGAAAACAGCAAGGCAGCCACAGGGCTAAGGGGAAAAGAACACCAGCAGAAGCCGGGCTCCTACACAGCGGGAGCTGAATGGGCAAGTCACTTCAAAATCATGCCTTTATTTATTCAATACATATTTATTGAGCCCCTACCAAGTGCCAGACACCCTAGATACTCACTGGGGATACAGTAATGAACAGAGCTGGCACAGTTTCTTCCCTAACAAAGCTTACATTCTAAGGAAACACTACAGTGGACTACGGAGTTTCTGTGAACAAATATGTGTCAGGTATTAATAACGGCTACAGAGAAAAAAATAAAGCAGGTTAAAGAGAAAATAGTTGCTATTTTACACAGGGTCATCTGGGGAAGTCTTTCTTCTAGGGTAACATTTAAGCAGAGACTTAAATGTACATAGTAGGAAAAGACATAAGGATGGTGTGTTCAAAACACAGCACCACAAACTGGGTGACTTAAAGAACAGACATTTACATTCTCATAGTGCTAGAGGCTGGAAGTCCAAAATCAAGGTGTCAGGCAGGGTTGGTTCTTCTGAGGGCTCTGGGGGAAGGATCTGTTCTAGACCGCTTTCCTTGTTTTGGAGATGGCTGTCTTGTCCATCTCTTCACACGTCTTCCATCCATCCACATCTGTGTCCAAATTTCCCCTTCTTATAAGGACGTCAGTCATATTAGGTTAGGGCCCATTCTAATGTCCTATTTTAACTTGATTACCTCTGCAAAGAACCTATCTCCAAATAGGGTCACATTTCTGAAGTACTGGGGGTTAGGGCTTTGACATATGAATTTGTGGGGGGCAGGTGGGGGAGACACAAGTCAACCAACCACAGATGGGAACACAATCATTAAGGTTCTAAGCAAAGTTCTGAAAAGATACTCTTCGCAGTAAATATGCTGGCACAGAAAAGTTGCTTGTGTTTTCCAACAGGTCTGCTTCAGAATCAATCCTTACAGCTTCAAGAACAGGAGAAACTCTTAACAAAGAAAGGTCAGCAAATTTATTTCCACAAATTCTAAGATATTGCCCTTTCCCTGTCTGCCTAGAGACAGAGGGATGGACTACATGACCTCTTGGAGTCCCACCCAGTTCTGGGAGTCTATTAGGTCAGGGAGCTAGAGGGCCATTTTAAGGACTCATCACTGGCTCTGAGAATAGTTTAGTTAGCCTCCTATCCTGAGAGGTATATAAACTGTGAAAAGGATTCCTACTCCCTCTGAAAACATATGTCTGCATTGACTATTTCAATAAATTGATTTTGAACTCAGGATTTTATGTTAATTTTTACCCTTAACTTTCCAAACCACATCCAGCTCCCCACGTAGAAACCACGTCACATGGAACAGTCACGTCACTCTCAGCCTTCAAGTCTGCTGCCTTAGCTTCCTGAGAAGAATTCATCATACATCTGGAGGGGCAAAAGCTCCTCATTTATCCACTGCACATGGCCCTCTGTTTTGTCATCACAATCACTGGGTAGAATATAAAGAAGGAATTATTATGCCCACATACGATGGATAAGAAAATGAAGGTCAATGAAGGTCTGTGGTCATACAAATTAAGGACACAGCTATGACCACAATCCAGAATTTCTGACTCCCAGGCCAGGGCTCTCTTCACCAAGATGCAGACTGCCAGGTGGCTGAAAAACCGTCTTTAGCTACATGAAGATGCGTTACATGACTGCCATTCTCATCTCATCATTTTGAAACAAGGACAGAAGGAAAATGGAGTTATACTGAAGCATCCAGCAAACCTCCCAGTCTGAAAGATGTGACATGCAACCAAAGAAACTAAACTAATAAGTATTTTCTAAAAGTATCTGGCTTTAGACAGGACTAGAGATACAGACAAAAGTAAAATGCCAACCTTGCCCTCAAGGGGCTCAAATTCCCACTCTCTGTCCAGTCTGGGCAGGATCCCAATGGATGTTCTTTAAAAGTCAGAGAATTGCAATCCACACGGTCTGGCCAGGGACAGGCCCTTCCTTATTCCCTCCCGCTTAGGGCTTCTCTCAGTGTGTAGGGACCATTCCTCAGAGGTATGGGCCTCACTTTCACTGCGAATCTGGCTGATTTTTTAGATCAGGCTTTGCCTGGGTGGAGTCCAAAGCCCTCCCATAACGAAGTGGTCCAGGGAAGGAGAAGGACTGGGATTTCAGAGACCAGCTCCAAAAGAAAACTTTGCAGCTCCTGGCCAAGGAAAAGGAGGTGAGATGGTGACCTCCGATAGTAAGGGGCTCATCCTACAGTGACAGGGAAACTGCTGGGAGGCAGCCAGACAACAGGCATTTCTGAGCTTAAGTTGTGATTGGGTGCCTGCAGGTATTCATTTAGGCCTGAATAAAACATCTTTGCTTTCGGGTTAACTTGTCAATCTTTTCTCTTGTTTATACCAACCCTTATTCAAGGTTTTACTAAAGAGTTACTTTTCAGAAAGTCAACCTAAACTCAAACACATTTAACAAACACATTAACTCCTCAAACTTTGTCCTACATTGAGCATCTTAAAACTTTATACAGTGTCTTTTAAATAACAAAACTCTTCCTATCTCTTCCTATCTTCCATACTCACAGAAATACGTAGCTCCTGAAGTGTTCACATGCAACTAGTTCCCAGCAAAGAGACTTGCACTAAGATCTCTTCCAGGTTGTGTGTGCTATAGGAACTTCATTTTTGTGTGTCTCCATTTACAAAGCACTGGCACATACAACTGTCACACATGTGTAATATATAATAATATGCATTATAATCAATCATTTAAATGAACACATTACAAACAAACTAGGTGAGACAGTCAGAAGGCAAACTGAAAGCTCTAAGAAAAGCTGGGAAGGGAGGATGGAGGTAAAAATTCCAAATGAATGACAGGGCAACTTACACAGGGCCCTCTCCCCTACCTGGGCTCTGTCCCTGACAGAACTGTCTAGATGACCTTGGTGGTGTTCTCCCGCAACGCGCCCCCCCCCCGCCCCCACACAGTGCAAAGAACTGCATTCAGAATTAGACCACCTCAGTGATGAGTATCTCTCCTGCCTGCGTAAGCTGCAGCATTGTCGAGAAGAGCTGAACCAGAGCCAGCAGCTGCCTCCCAGAGTAAGAGGGTCTATCCTCCCGTACAGCCCTAGGTGATCGTGGGATGATTCCTCCTTTAGCCAAATCTTGCCCATAAAATTGTTCAGCCCCTGCCAACATCTGACCAGCCGGCCCCGTTCAGCTTGGTTTATACTGTACTGAGAGTATAGCAACCATGTAAAGAAACACTGGCTCATGCCTCCAAGCCTAATTTTCATGGAAAGCCTGAGCCTGAAGGGAAAAACTTACTACTAGCTGAATTATGAAACGGTGTTCTTTTAGTCTATTATGAGTATAGTGGCAAGGACAGAGTGACGAGAAAAGGAATATAAACAGAATACAATTTTGCTGAGTTATTTTCCACTTTTGATTATTCATATCAGTATTGAAGTACCTGGCCCCCGCTGGCTGTGGTTCGCTGGGCCAGTGACCACTGGAAAGTGGTTTTATCCCGAGGGAGGTGGCAAAGTGAGAGAGACAGAGATATAAAAAGCTTTTTCTCCTCCACCAACCCAAGGTTTTCCACTGGGCTAGAATGGGAAGAAGGAAGATTATTTTTGCCTGCATCTTCTCTGACCAACCCATGGCCTCTTTCTCTTCTCTCCCCCTCCCTCCTCACAAAGGCAATGTGGCCGATGGCTTCTGATGCTGATGGCACTGATTGCTATAGCAGTGGCAGTGTTCCTGGCCAATAAGGACAGCCTGAAGCTCTGAATAACTGGTGACAGCTGCCTTGGGTGAAAATCAGAAGCAAGAAATTCAGTAAAAAACTCAGGTCTGGGTACTTTAATGTGTGGGTTTTTCCAACTCAACTGAGATTTCTGACTCTCATTTTTTTAACCTGCTGTAAAAATAAACAAACTTCACCTGATGGCCTCTGTTCCAAAGAACTCTGTTTATTCCTGAAGCATCCTGGTCTACTCTCCCTAGTCCAGTTCAGCATAAAAATGGCAAATTTATTACAGCATTCTTCCCTAGGTCCCCGAGATGCTCGGAATTGGCACTTGAGATGATTCCTGTGTGCCATCTCTGACCTAGAGCTGATCATTTACCGAGCTCCTTCTACACAGGAAAAGAGTTAAAGTCAGAGCGCCACAGCCGGCAGTGTGACTATCTCAGAGGAGATGCTGAGGTCAGCGAAGTCATTCTGAGTCCTACATCGAGTTCTAAGGTCCTTCTCCCAAGTGTTTAGAATGTTCCTCAAGGATGGGAACAAGCTCTCTGGGACACTAAAGGAATAGAGCAAGACTGGTGGTTGACCACGTAGCCATGAGATCCGGGCGGTGAACACCCGTAGTGGAGTCTGGGCTAAGCAGTTGTCACCTCCCTGGTTCATGTGAAAAGTATAGGGGACAGGATAGCCCAGGAGGATCCCAAACACAGTACAGAGATTCCAGTCTGAGGAACGGAGCCTGCTGCAGGAGACTGCCAGGGATTGGTTCCTCCGTGGCCCCTGCAAATGTGTGATGATCTCAGCCACGAGGGCCTTTAAGTCCTGAAGCTGGTCCAGGGAGCAGATGGAAGGGTGAAGTTGAGAGCTGGAAACATCCACAAAGACTATGGTACCAAGCAGCACCTGCTCCAAGTGCCGACACACCTGCTCCGGAAGGACAATCAGGCTGTTTTCTCCAATCTCAAGGATGTGAAGTCCCTGGGCCGGGAAGCCCAGGCCCTGCAGCTCCTCCAGATAGCTCTGGAGCTCCGCTGCCCCTGCACAGTTGCAATCATAGAGCAGAGCTGGCTTCAGTCCCCTGGCCACAGCCAGCACCTCTCCGGCTAGATGAAGGCAGACAGCTCGGGGTGGGCCTCGTCTCTTTCCCATGCCCAGGGTCTGCTGAGCAGCTGCCACCAGCAGCTGAGGACTTGGTACTGACATGGGACCTGGCAGCAACAGTAAGCATGGCCTCCTCAACTAGTCACATTTCCCTCCCCTGGGCTGCATCTCTGAGCTCCAGACACTTGAAGAAGGGCCTAAAATCAAAGCAGTAGCAGTGGATTATTAACACCAGCTAGTGACATACCAGGAAACCTGCCAACAACTTTCCCTTAAGTCTTACAGCATCTTCCAGAGGCCATTTTCCCCTCCCTCTGCTTTGGAATGCTAACCCAGCCCAGACAAGATGGGGTCAACAATGCTATCTGATTTTTTGGTTGACTTGGCCTCCATCAGTCCCAAATTCATGTGTCTTTCTAGCCTACGCCTAGATTTATATTTTCTCTGGCTGAATTTTACCTGTTGTAATTTATTTTCTCTGATTCAAAGGTTAAGGAGTTTGGGGCAGAAAGGAAGCAGGGGAGTTTTTGGCAAAATTCTGAGCATTTCACCTAAAACTGCCCTCTGAGATGGAGTTCTAGGTTCCAAATGCACTCTCTTCACTGCCAACTCCCCCTTCGCTTCCCGCCAATGGTTGTAAGAATAGCAATCTGATTAAACTAATATACACTAGAATGTGGACTACCAACCATCTCACCCTGAGACAGAAAAGTAAATAAATGAAATCGGGTAGAATTGCAAGAGGGTTGTACTTTAACTTCTGCTGGTCCCGCCTTCCCCTACTAGTGGACATCCACGGACCCTCGGACGATGGGCTCACCTCAACCCCTACACCGTTTCCTGAGCATAGTATCGTAATTTGTTAAATGAGGCAGAGGTCTCTCTCACACATACATACGTTCTTCTACTTCCGCTGCACGTTCAGGCTCAGGAACTCCTGCCAGTTTCCTGCCCGCTGCCAAGAAAGCCGCTAGGCGCCCGCCCTCTGCCACAAAACTGGAAATCCCACCCGCGTGGTCAGGTCCTTTACGCCGGCGGGGCCAGGGTGGGCGAAGTCAATCTATTGCGCATGCCCAACACGTCCCCCGCCCCACTGCCTTCCTTGACGTCACCCAGTCCGCTCGCGCGCCTCGCGTTAGAACTACCCGCAGGGCAGCCCGGCTGAGTGCCGGAAGTCTGGGCGCCTGCGGCCCGGCCCCTTCCGGCCCCTTTCCATTCTTACGCAGATGTGGGCCCCACCCGTCTGCGTAGGAATGGAAAGAGGCGGGTGAAGCTAGTATCCCGCCGCCGCCCGCCCTCGGCTCCGCCGCTTGCCCTCCTTCTGTGTTAAGTCCGGTGTCCCGTTTGACCCGGAAGGCGGAAGCAGGGCACTCGACGCAAAAGCACGCTTTGATTCGTCTCTGGAGAAATGTACTTTCCCCTCCAAACGAAACTTATCTCAAGACAAGCGACGTGTTTTGCATAATATCCTCACCTGTGGGTGCTGGAAAGTTTTTTGTTTTTTACTTTGACCTACCTAAATCCTGAGAGGCTGAATTCCGAGAAGTGGGTGGACAGGTGTCCTGGCCAAAGTTTGTCATCTCTAAGCAGGGTGTGAAGTGCATGAGTATTCACTCCGAACAAATGTGTGCTAGGTATGCTTCTGGGCGCTGGAAGTATTACAGCGTAGAAAACAGACAAAAACCCCACCTTCTTGGAGCTCAAATTGAGGAATTCAGTTTGCTGACTTCACATGAGAAATGAGAGGCAGAGGTGCAGAAGCTTTTCAGGTCATTAGGAAGAAAAAGTTATTTCACTGAAAGGTTAACTACCAGTGATATGACCCATACCACGAAGGGAGAGAATTTCTTGAGAAAATTCGTATCTGAAGAAATAGCCCAAATTTATTGATACGTGGGCAGGGCAGAGGCTAAGGGAACTGCAGTCACCTACGCTGGAAGTTTCACTCCTGGCTGTACCTTGGTGGTATCTTCAGACTGAAGAGACCACTGTAGAGTAAAGGTGGGGCCAGCCTGGAAGGAGGTCCAGCTTGTAGGGGCTCCCACACTAACGTGGAGCCAGAAGCAGAGCAGAAACTAATTTTAGAATTTTTTCCATCCCCATATTTACTTTATTTTCCCATGGTAGTTAGCAATCAGTTTCTGAAATGAAGGACGTATTGAGTTAATGCATTTATTCTAACAATAAATATTTGAGAACATACTATGTACCAGACATTGTGCTAAGGGCTGACAGCAAAGTCCAAGACAAACAGTCCTTACCTCCAGCAAGTCTGTAGTCATGCAGGACACAAACTGAGTAATTACAAGGAATTGATTATTCTGAAAGAGGAACTATAGGGTGCTATGGGAACATATAGCCAGGGACCTAATTATGTGGGCAAGGGACCAGTCCAGATCCAACATTTGCCCTCCCAATTTACACCTACAGCTAATCTAGTTTAGCGGGGTGGACAGTGAGAAAATGAAAAGCTGGGGACACCACCTAACTCCCTTCCCAGTCTTAAGCAAGCTGAAGGCAAGGAAGTAGAAAACACCAAGGGAATGAGTGGTGTAGCCACCAAAGAAGATAGCAGGCTGAGTCTCCAAGAAAGGACACCTGGCATCAGGACCACAGAAGGAGCACTGAGGGAGATCAGCGGAGAGCCCTGCATGCACTCTCCCAGTGTTCTGAAAAGGATAAAGAACAAGGAAGAAACTACACTACTGGGTTAAGACTACATAAAACCACTTATCCATTCCTCTAACATATTCATCAGCTTTTCATTACAATCACATACTAAAAGTTCAATCCTTCTTGGCACTTAAGAACACTGTTCTCTACACCCTTTGCCAGCTCACATTTTCTGGGCCCCCACCCAGGTGTACAGCCTGGCTGTTAGCATCTCACAGAATAAGGGGAAGGGCCCAGCCCAGATCCAGCAGTTGCCCTCCCAATGTATTTTCTGTGGGTTCTTTTTAACTTTGAGCTTTGCAGATAAGAGACAGAGGGAGCCAGACATCAAGACCAAATCCCTCACTTCACCCACTCAACAGAATGCCCCCAAAATATCAAGTTCCTATACCTTGCACATTTCCTGGTCTCTAGAAGCCCAACTTCTGCTCACAGCTGAGCACCTGAGCACCCAGATTTCTCTTGGTCATGCTTTAGTAACAGCAGATTCTACTAGGTCCCTTAGAGACCCCAAAACCACAGCTTAAGCTTTCTAAATAAATAAGTCCATTGCCACTTGTGATTGAGGGGTTTTTGAAATAAAGCTAGCTCAACTACAGTAGCAAGTAGGAGGTGGCCTGCTTTAAGGGTAGCAGACCAGACATGGACTTTCTTAATATGGCATGGCACACATAGGTATCAGTATTCAGGAGGGTTGGAACCTGCAACCAGAGATAAGCATCTTGTTTTCCATTTAGGTCCTGGAGTTTAAATTATGTATAATTTCATCCTAAAACACAAAACAAAAACAAAACAGAGTCAAAGGGTCAGGGACAGAGCAAAAGTTAATAGATCAGACCAGTCTGTGGCAGCCACAGCTGCAATGTTCTACACCTTAATTGTAGCCATAGCTGCAATGTTCTACACCTTAATCTACACTCTTCACCTTAAATGTTCACACCCAGCTACCTCCACCAGGAAGGGAGGCAAGCAGGTTTGTGCTAGGTGAGCCATTTCCAGAAAAGCACTGCCCAGCCCTTCTTCACCTTGACCTTAACACATTCAACACCCCATTTTTCCCATCCACAAAAACTCCAAATGACAGGAAGACTGTAAACATCTCCATACAAGGAGGAACTGTCCCTGTCTCCTCTGTGGTTACAGGAGTTGGTCCTGGATGCCCAGCTCACTCTCAGGTCTTCCTCAAAGAGGGGAAAAAAGAACAAGAGAGCTCTATCCTCTCCAAAGGTTATCACTGAGTTACATACTGTTGTCTACCACACACACACAGTGGTACAGACATACCTCATTTTATCGTTTTGCTTTATGGCACTTTGCAGATACTGTGTTTTTTACAAATTGAAGACCTGTGGCAACCCTGCGTCAAGCAAGCCTATTGGCGCCATTTTTCCAATAGCATTTTTTCACTTCATGTCTGTGTGTGATGTTTTGATAGTTCTCACAATACTTAAACTTCTTTATTGTTATGTTTGTTATGGTGATCTGTGATCAGTGATCTTTGATGTAACTATTGCAAAAAGATTATGACTTGCTGAAGGCTCAGATGATGGTTACCATTTTTAGCAATCAAGTATCTTTATTTATTTTTAATTAATTAATTATTTATTTATTTTTGGCTGCGTTTGGTCTTTGTTGCTGTGCGCGGGCTTTCTCTAGTTGCAGCGAGCGGGGGCTACTCTTCATTACAGTGCACAGGCTTCTCATTGCGGTGGCTTCTCTTGTTGTGGAGCACGGGCTCTAGGCGTGCAGGCTTCAGTAGTTGTGGCTCGTGGGCTCTAGGGCGCAGTCTCAGTAGTTGTGGCGCACAGGCTTAGTTGCTCCGTGGCATGTGGGGTCTTCCCAGACCAGGGCTCGAACCCATGTCCCTTGCATTGGCAGGCAGATTCTTAACCACTGCACCACCAGGGAAGTTCCCAAGTATTTTTAATTAAGGTATGCACATTTGTACTTTTAGACATAATGCTATTGCACACTTAAAAGACTACAGTATAATGTAAACATAACTTTTATACGCACTGGGAAACCAAAAAATTTGTGACTTGCTTTATTGCAATATTCACTTTATTGCAGTGGTTTGGGACTAGCCCTGCAATATCTCCGAGGTATGCCCGTATTTCAGTGGTGATAAGTTGAAAACCTGACAGCCAATTCTTCTACAGAATCCCTAAGCCTCTACATCAACACCTTCCCCTTAGAAGCTCAGTGTGTGAGTTTTTACTCCACAGGCTGGGTGACTTTCAGACTTTGGCACCTATTTCTATTTAGATATCTAGCTTGGTTCCCAAGCAACCAGCCGGCGCCCCTCCCTCCCTCTTCCCCCATCAGGGAGCCAGCTTACTATACTAGCAGAACAGGTCAAACGGAGATCAATCCTGGACAAATCAGTGCTTGAGGGAACTTTAATGAAAGCAAAAAAAAAAAAAAAAAAAAATGCGGTGCAAGAACAAGGCAGAAATGTTCTGTTCCAGGCAGTTTTGCCTTGTACAAGTAGAAGGAAGTCACTGAGTCAGAGTTTTAAAGCTGGCGTTATTTCAGGCATCATTCCAACTCCTTCATTTTACAGTAATGAATCTGAAGCCCAGAGGCTAAATGACTTGGTTCAAGGTCACACCACTGGAAGCAAAGCTGCAGCTAGAACCCTGGTGTCCAAACTCCCAGGCCAAATCTCCTTCTACTACATTACACTACCATGGGGAGGTTTAAAAGAGAAAGGGAAAGTATGAAGGGTGATTTTTCCATAAATTAAATCAACTTTAAAAGCTAGGCATATTTGGAGAGTCAGAGAGTACTAATATTGTTAGAAAGAAGAAAGGTTTAAAAGCTGGTTAAATCTAATAAAAAATATCCATATGTACAATATTGTAAAAAAGAGAAGGAAGATGGCATTCATGATTACTGGGCTGGCAGGGCAGGGGACAGTTGCATGCTGGGGGTGGGCTGCATGGGCTGCCAGCTTTCCTGGGTTTGCAGGATGCGGTACAGCTGCTTCAGCTGAGCAACAATGTTATCCTTGATGTCTGGAGTTGAGATCTGCAGGCGGACACTGCCACTGTCAAAGGATCGTGTGAAATCACCAGAAAACATCTCATAGATCATCCGAGCCACCACTGGAATGACCTGTTCAGGACACAGAGCACACAGCTATCCACTGAGGAAAGGGTATTTTTAAACAGCAGGAGGGGCCCAAGATTGACGGAAGGACCAGTGAGGCTGTGGGGAACCCACCACTTTAATGTCTAGATACAGACTATGCCTTCATCTCTCTGGACCATCCTGCCAAGGTTCACTTTAGAATGTGGTTCAAATGAAGGTAAAGAACCTAGAAGTAGCATCACATCACATGCCTAAATAAATAACTGCCTATTTAGCAAGACTTTTACCCGAATTTCATCTGCTGCCTGTCTTGATGCACAAATCCACAGCCAGACCCAAGTGGTCTTGCTGCCATTTTCCAGAATGAGAACACGTTCTTAAAAGTACCTCAAAAGGTGTTACTAAAAGAGCTAGAAAGAGTCATATCCTGTTAGGTTTCAGCAAGACTCTAACGTCAGTAAGAGAATAAGGTCTCCCCTGAATCAGTCACTCGCTTTGAGGACACTGTATTCTCCAGCCTGGTCCTACTTTGTACAACGTACAAAGCTCAAGTTGCTACATCTGACGGGATTAAAACCCACAGAGTCTGATGGATCCTCACTCAGGGCTCAAGCCCAGACCTAGGGGCTAAAGCATTGATAAAAAGGCAAAGAGTTGTTGACACATTATTATCTCCTCACCTGAACCAAGATGAGTTTCCTTTCCTGAGGTTTCCCATCTGGCCATTCTTCCCCAAAGCATAAGTAGATCTCAAATGGTGGCTGTTTCTCTATCTGTCCTTTCTGGTGGGCAATGAGATCTGCAGAACATGGAAGAGCATGGAGTTTGGGGTACTGGGTCATTCCACACCTACTCAGTAAACACTTTCTTTTATACTGTCCTGAATAGTAGCCACTGGCCACAACATGTGGGTATTGAATTTAAATTCATTAAAATTAAATAGTTCCTTAGTCACATTAGTTACATCTACATACTCAATAGCCACATGTGGCTAGTAGCTACCATATTGAACAACATAAATATAGAACATTTTCATCATTTCAGAGAGTTCTATTGGACACCGCTTAAACCAGACTTAGGGTTCAAATCACATTGGAAAATTCACATCTCAGTGCTCTCCCTAAATATGTCTGTTTAAATTTGCCATGCAAATGTGTCCCAAGTGAGAAGAGTATATGTTTTGCTGATTATGATGAACAGGGTCACCTTCCAAAGTTAAGGATAAGCTGGTAGAATGTGGGGAGCAATATCAAGGCTGTCTTCTTCTTCTGCCAATAAAGGAGCCATAACCACCTAAAACTGGCTTCAAATGCACAGCTTTGGAGTGGAACACCCTTCTTTGTTGCCCAGGTCACTTTTGTTTTTCAGAATCAAGGTCCCCTTCTACCGTGACTTCCTCCAGAAGAAACTGTTTGGTTAAGATCTTTGCAGAGATAGGAAAGGGGGGAAGGAAGGAGGAAGACATACTTGCAGGGAGCAGTTCCCATCATCAATGGTCTGAAAAAAGACTCACCACTAAGGAACGTTTCCAGACAAAACAGTTTGACCTTCTTTTGTCTCTCGATCAGGTTGGGGGCAACAAGCGATGGGGCACATGGCCCAGACCAGTACACCTTGCACTGGCACAGCCTGATAGCATAGATGGCATGACCGCTGACCTCCAGGATCAGTCCTCTGTCCATGACGTCTAGCAGTTTGCTGGTGAACAGCTTCTGCTTCTCATTGGTGATGTGCTCCGGACCTGGGAACTTGACCTGCTCCAGGCTGACGGGACCAAAGAGCTCCTCCTGGTCAGGCATGGGACCCAAGTCTCCATAGAAGAGCCTGCAGCCCTGGGGGTTGCTCACCGTCATGGTCTGTGCATACTCCTTCCCACGGTACTGAAATTTGATGTCCAGGTCAGTCACTGCAAGGTGAGGGGGGACAGTGAGAGTCCTGCTCTGCTGCTCTGCCCATCCATCCCTAGGACTCATGCAAGTCCATCAAGATCAAGCCACCTTTCAACCAGCATTCAGGAAGGCCATTGCCATAGTTATCCTTCATGCAACAAAGGGAGACATCAACATATCCCTGGAATATTCACTCAAGAGGCTGCCTTGAAGCCAATAGCTCAAATTCCATCTATACTATCACTGTTCAGTCACCACACCCTAAAGCTAGAATTTCTCCAACCAAAGTTCTGGGTCCCGGTCTCCCCATTTTGTACTGACTGAGTCTTTACATCAATAGGCATTGGAAGGAGCTGAAAACTAAGGCAGCATCTGGTTTGTGTATCATTTTTGACTCACTGTTTAAAGAAACCAGAGGAACAATAAGAAATACCAAGGCATATTTCTGAAAATTACACAGATGAGCACACACTGTTGATATGTTCTAATAATATATCACAGAAGGACACAGTGCACAACAAAGTAAATTTTCACTCAGCAAGTGTCCATTGAACCCTATAGGTCTTATCAAAGCTATCAGCCTCTTGGACAAAATGCTAGTACTCCCCTGGCACCTCCCCTACCATATGTAGTGTGAAAGGGAGGTGCAATGACAATGATTCTTCACTGAGATCAATTTGTACCCCATTCAGAAAGAGATTTTCTCTGGGTCCTAAAGTCCCTCAAAACCCAAGAGCCTCCTTGATCAAATCCAGTCATTAACTTCCCCAACCCACAACTGACCTTGTCCTCAAATCCCCTGGGCAAACTGATAAACCCAGGCCTTCCACCCACCTAATAGGTGAGTAACCTAGAGCTGCACAGCACCAATCAGAGAACCCCCATGGGCAAGTAGGTATGGGCTGGTGACTCATCAGCCAGCCAGGAACCAGACACAGAGGCTGCCTGGGGGACTATTCTATACATGGCAAAGAAATGGAGGCAGAAGGTGGGGCAGGAAATGGACTGTAATAGGAGCTGAAGATCCACCTAGAATATCAAGGCTCACTTACTTGGGAGAGAGCTGATCCACAGCTCTGGAGAGCTATAGAAAGGCTGTATAGGTGCCTGGGGTACTTCCATCTCCAGAGGTTCCGTTTTGGGCCACACTGCTTCGGGGCTGCAGTTGCCCACACTGCAGTTGCCCACACTGGCTGGTGCTATGGGAGAACCTAGAAAAGAAGGATGTGGGTGAGCAGGCAGGAGCACCACACGTGCATATCACCTGGGTCCGAAGCTCTCAAATCTAAAAGGTCCAACACTGGACCACAACTCAGTGTGGCAGCCCATCAGTAATTCCCCCAACAAACACCAAAAGAAATAAGGTTCCCCTGCTTCTGCTTCCTAATCTTATTAGTTCTCTCATAAACTCATAATTTTGAAAACATGCATTTGCTGATGATTAACAGACAAGTGGGTACTCTCTGGGGTTAAATTAGAGCAGGCATGAATGAGAGATTCCCTGTTACAAAATTTGAACCCAGCGATTAAACAGAAACTGGTTGTCTTCCATAAAATGAACTCAACTAAATTG